CAATTCGAGAGAATTTAGGTGTGGCCCTAATATGCGATAATATAAGAGAGTAGACTTAGGTGTGCTGGCCATGTGTGGCGCCAACCAAGTACAACACCTGTTAGGAGGTGCAAGTTAGTTCAATTAGAAGGACTAAAAAGGTCAAAGGGTAGCCCAAAAGGATGTGGTTGGAAGTGGTATGAAAACAATATAGGAACTTATGGCCTCACTGAGGGTATAACCTTTAATAGAGCAGAATGGCAGACCAGGAATTGTGTAGCCGACCCCGATTAATTGGAAAAAGGCTATGATGATGATGAATAAGAACAACGACGAGAGCACACTTTCGATATCTTGAGTTGATAATCTAAGAAAATGGAGAGATTGAGGAAGATATCACATATAGAATTAGAGTTGGGTAAGCGAAGTGGAGATGTGCAAGTAGAGTTTTATGTGATTGCCGCATACCAATGAAGCTGAAGGGCAAGTTCTAAAGGACAACTGTGAGACCATCTTTACTTTTTATCGGGTGGAATGTTGACTGAGATGAAGATGTTGAGATGGATGAGTGGCAAGACAAGAAGGGATAGAATTTGAAATGAATACATTTAGGAGAATTTAGGTCTAACACCAATAGGCGATAAAATGAGAGAAAGTAGACATATGTGGTGCAGACCCAGTACAACACCTGTTGGGAGGTGCGAATTAATTCCAGTAGAAGGCTCAAAAAGGGGAAGGGGTAGGCCCAAAAAGACATGGTTGGAACTAGTGAGAAAGATATGGGGACCTATGACATCATTGAGGGTATGACCTTTAATAGATTAGAATGGCGGACCAAGATTCGTGTAGCTGACCCCCATCAGTTGGGAAAAGGCTTTGATGATAATGACTCATATCTTTTGATTTAATTTCAGAATACCCATGAAAGAAGACATTATCTTGAGTTGGAATAGTTGCAAATGAGTAGAATATTAAGTACTCCATCTTTTGTAAATTGGACTATTATGAAATACAATTATAGTGAACTTCTCTCAAAAAACATATCCCTTTCTAATTCTAAAGGGGAACTGTAAAAAGGTGCATGAACCATCACTTTTGGGCAGCTATGGTTGTTTGACTTTTATGCATTAATGTCTATCCAACATTGCCCTTTTATACTATATATCAAACATTATCCTGTCTTAGGAACTGTCTTGTGCTTGATCATGCAATTTATATTTACTTACTAGTGGAATCCATAGCATTCTTTGACTTCCTGAGTACCGATTCTCTTGCTAGATGCTGAACTTCTGTCACTTCGGTTACAAACACATGGCAAAATATTATCCAATTTTGATGCAATATACTTGGTTTGCTGTCTCATGCAGCTATTTGTTGACTATTTGCTATCCTTGTTGAATACTTTATTTGATATTGCCTGCTCTAACGCTGATTTTAAATATTTTGCAACTATAATTAATTATGCAGGAACACCAAGGCCACCTTTTGATGCGCTCATTCAGCGGTTGGTTGCTTTGCAAATCTCTGAAAATAATTATGAGGGGCGACCAGTAATTGCATCAGTCGATATCCCCAGTGGGTGGCATGTTGAAGATGGGAACATTGATGGAACAGGGATTAAACCTGACATGCTGGTTGGTTATTATTGAGAGCTCTGTTCTTTTGAGATGATTCAAACCAAGTTCAAAATAATGGATATAGTGGACCATACTGGGACTGGTCCATTTCTATCTCATAATGGCAGTGGCCTTTATTTCTGGAAAAACTGCAATAAATACAAAACTGGAAAAATGGATTAAAAATTGTAGAAAATATGAGGAAAGTAACGACCGATATACCGCTCAATATTTTAGTGCAATGGCTGATATGACCTTGATTCATACTCATTTCATCATGACAAGTATCCTAAAATCCAATACATTATGGAAAACCATACTCACCATCCAATGAAATGATGCAAGAGAATGAAGATAGAGTAGGACCAACCATTGGGATCATGTCCTATTCAATTGGGTCCTTTCCCTCCATCACCATCCTTCATCATTCCATGATGACCCCAATGGACTATATTTTTCCATGGTCCACTGGATTAGATTATACTTTCCCTTATATCATTGATTGGATTCATAATCAGAAAAATCTTGCCATGTACTCTTTTCTTCCTTCTATGAAGCATGTTTAATGGTGGCTTCATATAAATCATTTATCTTTGCATATTTCTAGGTATCATTAACTGCTCCAAAGCTGTGTGCCAAAAAGTTTTGTGGTCCTCATCACTTTTTGGGTGGCAGATTCATCCCACCATCAATTGCAGATAAGTATATACTTCAGCTTCCACCATACCCTGGCACTTCCATGTGTGTTCGTATTGGGAAGCCCCCGGCAATTGACATTGCAGCACTAAGAGAGAACTATATATCACCAGAGTTTTTGGAGGGGGAGGTAAAGGGTGATCCGGTACGGCAGGTATGCCACTTCTAGAGAGTAAATGGACGTGCCATTGCTGCAATAGCACTGATTCACATTAAAAATGGAAATAGTTATTTGAAATAATATCCTATTTTTGATTCATCAAGTTAAGAAGATTTATGGGCATCTTTGACACTAGTTTTCTTTTAGCCTTTTAGATTTACTTTTATCCCAAGTTGGCAGTATAAGTTTATTATGGACCACTTGTTTTCTACTAGTGGCAATTTCAGAATGCACATGACTGTATAATTGCATTTTAATTCTTGTATGATAGCTTTTTTGTAGTTTGCTAAATGGTTTGAGGATGCTGTGGCTGCTAATGTCCACGAGCCAAATGCTATGGCCCTATCAACTGCTAACAAGAGTGGGAAACCGTATGCTCTTTCCCTGACTGAACTACTGTTTGGCCACAATCCTATGCTTCATGGTGTTCCCTGACATGTCGAGAAGTGTGTATTGGTTCAATTTGTTGGTTGTCTTTCAGAAGTATTAATTGTCACTGCATCTCATTAGTAAGTTATATCTTTTGATAATTCCTAACCAGGTTTAAAGTCACTTATATTGATTGTTTTTTGCAGATCCTCACGGATGGTGTTGCTAAAAGGATTTGATGACCATGGTTTTGTGTGGTAAGAAAGAATTTATGAACTTTGGTCAATGTCGAATATTGTATTGCTTTAATTTGTAGAAGCATATTGCTAGTTCCACACTTGTCGTAGGGAATTTACTAAGATGTCCTAAGTCGAGCCTCAAAGTAAAATATAATATTTTTTCCAGTAAAATATAAAATTTTTGTTCTACTAAAGTTGTTTCTTATAATATGTTTGGGTGATCAGGTACACAAATTATAGAAGTCGGAAGTCGCGAGAACTATTTGAGAATCCTCAAGCATCCCTTCTTTTCTTTTGGGAGCCTTTGAACCGCCAGGTCAGGCATGTGTTTCTTATATGTCTCGAATGCCATTTTTGTGGTTGAAAATCACCAGTCAGCTGATATGCATGCTTCTCATTAGTCTTAGGTGAAGCAGATCAAGTCCACAAGTCTGATAAACCATCAAGTTTATTAACAACCAATTAAAACAAGAAAAAACACTGAACCGTTAAGTTACTGAATAATTTGTCTTTTCTACTTAGAGATGGTAATCCATGAGCATTATTATGTGTGTTATGTGAGATATCCAGGTTCACTTGCATAGTGCTATCATATGGAGAAAGATCAGAAATAGTTTGCTCAATGTGAATTTCAGACATGAAGTGCATATTTCATATGGCGTGTATGAGATTCTACCATCTAGGCGCCCTCCTTCTCTATACGTTTCTTTGATTGACAGATAATTATTATGAATCACGACCCATAGTTCGATTTATACGTGTAGACACCCCATTTTAAATCTGGTAAATTCTGAACCCTTAGGATCACACTTAACCTAGTAAACCCAAATCCATAGTTCACATAGCCTACCTTGTGATTCGGAACCAGTTTGCCTGCCAGGAACCCTGTTTTGACCTAGATTTCTGTAAATGCCCTATTTTACCAAAACAATCATTAAAAATAGTAAAAAAATCCGTTTTGACCCAAATTTTCTCTGAGAGCTTCACAAGAGGCTGAGGAACACAACTGAAAAGAAAAAACTCAAATTCAACAAGTTTTGGTTTGGGCGACACGGGGCGTGCCGCCCAGATTAGGGACCCTCAAACTTTGACTTTTTGACCGGGGATTTGCTTGTTACGCGTGCTTATCCTTCCCAACGAGTTTGGACCCCCATAAGACCTCTTTTCGTGGTCATTTGAGGGGATCGAGACTTCAGAGAGAGAAAACCCTAGAGATAGAGATAGAGATTAAAACCAGAGAGAGAACGAGAGAAACCCTAGAGAAAACCCTAGCTTCCTGAGACTCTAACCCCAAAGCAAAAGAAAACTTATACCTAGGGCACAACCACCCTAGATCTGCCCTTAGGGCACAACCACCCTAGATCTACCCATAGGGCACAGCCACCCTTCTTCAACCAGAGGCTTGCTGGTGAATATCCGAATTAGAGAGGCAAAAGATGACCGGTTCTGATACGGGCGAGCCCTAGAAAGCTCGGGAGTCCCGGGCCATCCGGCCCGATTCGGTATCATCTTCTCTTATATTTTATCTCTTTTGTTTTATTGTTCTTATTTCGGTACTTTAATTTTATTTTGCTTTGTTTTGGTTAATCCACTTAAAAATCGTATCTTGGATATTTTTGGATCATGCTGGCTCTGCCACAAATCTGAGGGTAGATCTGCTTGTTTTCGGGCAGATCTGGCCTCAGATCTGAATTCGATTTGTCCCACGCTCCTTACCATTTCATTTCCTTCATTTTTCATCATTTTAAGGTGACAGTTCCGAGAGATCTTCATTGTGAGATCTGTCTGATTTCGCATCATAAACAGTTTGGCGCCCATCGTGGGGCCTTTTCGAGCTTGATCCAAGCGCTAAAATATGGTTTTTATTCATCGCTTTTCACTGTTTTAGTCACAAAAAGTTTCAGAAGTCGGCAGTAACCAGATCCAGGTTTTGGTGCTACGAAACCCTGATTTTTCTTAGCCACACTCCTCGTGTCGCTCAAAATTCAAAAGTTTCAGAATCTTCTGATATTTTGCAGATCTGTTCCGGGGTCTATTTTGTGACTGTCCACGAAATTTCAGAGCAAAATAATATTTTTAAAAATTACCAAAAAAAATATTTTACTGTTCTGTCTACGCTGTTCTGCCTTACTCTGTTTTAATTTATTTCATCATAAATATATTTTATTTCTACGTCTTCCAAGTTTAAAGTAGTCTTGTTTCATCAAGATTAACAAAGAAAAAATAACAAAATAAATTTTTTTTTTTTTTGGGCGACACTAGGCATGCCGCCTAAGTGACACGGACCGTGCCGCCCTGGTCCAGGGCGGCACGTTCTCTGATTCCCCCCGTTGCCCAATTCAGAATTTTTTGAAATTTTGCAGGCTGGGTCCTGGCTCTCTTTTGTGGCTGTTCACAAAATTTTAGAGCAAAATAAAATTTTTAAAAATACCAAAAAAATATTTTGCTTGATACAGGTTTGTTCTATCTGTTGTTCTTCTGTTTCACTTTGTTTTAATTTTATTTCATCAAAAAGTTTGATTTTTCTGCTACTGCAAGTTTCTGTAGCCTTATTTCGTCAAGGGTAAAAGAAAAAAATAAATAAAAATAATTTTTTTGGGGCTACGCGGCCAGTGCCTATCATCGAGGTCTCAGAAAATTCCTGGGACCCCATGTTCAGGGACTTTTGGCTCACTGTTGACCAAGTTTTGACTTAAAATAAAATTTTAAAAAATATAAAAAAAATATTTTGCTTCAGATAAGTCTGTCTTGCTCCTAACTTTTTCTTATTTATTTTAGTTTATTAATTTTGGCTGAAACCTTTTTTCCCTTCTTTCACCATGCTTATTCTAACTGTATTTCATCAAAGTTAAAAAAAGATAAAAATAAAAATAAAAATAAATAAATAAATATACATCAAGGGATGCTTGCACCCTCCTGAACCATGTCCCGTTCGAGTCACCCTCGACCGGGGCCACGCTCGACTTAGCACGGACTGTGCCTGGTCTCATTTTTTCTAACTTTACCTTCTTAGGGGTTGCTTACCCCTCCATCTATACTGTGCTTCGAGCGAGTGTCGCCTCGAAGCGTGCATCGCTGGACACGATCAGTGCCAAGCGCTCACTTATTGCTTTGCTTGTTTTACGTGTATTGTGTGCCTGACTTTATTTTTGATTGCGTACTTCTTTATACACTCCAGCACACACCGGACCGGGATTGCCCAACAAACCAACAAACAAATGTATCGAAAACCCCCAAAATCCGCGTTAACGGCGTGAGGGGAACCTAACATTGAGAGCCGAGGTGATTGGGATTCACGTAACTTTAACTGTGAGCGCCCCTCCGTAATCCTTTCCCTCAAAGCAACTCTGTGTATAGTAGGACCTGGCAAAATCCTATAACAGGAGGCCATGACCTATGCGGGGACCTATATCAGCCTAGCCGCATTTTAGTAGTTAGGAACCCACTCTCAAGCCAAGCCTACTCCTACTTATAGCATTATATCAGATCAAACGTTTTCGTTTTCTTGCTTGCTTATTTCTGTTGGTTAATTTTAGATCTTAGACCGGACCCACTTTTCGTCCGAGCTGAATCCTCTGGGTCCAAGTCCAGGCTTGTACCCAGCCTAGCCCAGGTCAGAACCAGGTTCACACCTTGGTCCGAACTTAGGATCCATCTTGGTTCGGGCCGAAGGCTCGTTCCTAACTCATCCTTGATCCAGTCCAGGTGCACACCAGGTCTGATTACCAAAATTCTCTGGGTCCAAGTTCAGGCTTATACCCAGCCTAGTCCAGATCCGAACCAAGTTCACACCCAGGTCCGAACCTAGGCCCCCTTTTGGTCCTAGCCTAAGGCTCGTTTCTAGTTCAATCTTTATCCAGTCCGGGTCCACATCCGGTCTGAGTTTCAAAACCCTCTAGGTCCAAGCCCAGGCTTGCACCCAACTCAGTCCAGGTCTGAACCAGGCTCACACCTCGGTCCGAACCTAGACCCACCCTTGGTTTGAGCCAAGACTCGTGCACCATCTAGTCTAGATCTTAGTCTAGGTTCTAGCATAGGTCTAAGCATAGAGTTTCCTCTAGAGCTAGACTAGCCTTACCCTAGTTCAGAGTCCGAGCCAGAACACATTGAGTCTAGCAAGTCTAGGTTCCAGTCTAATCTTAGCCTAGGTCTTAGTTAGGGTTTTGCCCCTGAAGTTAGGATAGGTCTGCCTTAAATTGTCGAGTTTAGATCTTACCTAAGTCTAGATTCTAGAACCCTGCCAAAGAGAATCACCATGTCGGTTACTCAAAGCGACTATGATGATCACTCCACGGCCGACTCTAAGCCTAACCTGCCTAAACGTGGGGACCCGTATGTTGCAATCTCTTGGAATTATCAATAGACCTTAGGCCAATCCATTATCCAGCGCTGAGGTCTTCAATTAGAGACAGAGTCCCAAGCATCCACTCCTAATCCTGAAATTGGTGTGATCCAAAAGGCTGGTTCAGCCCAAAAGACTCTGAATAGTCAAGGGGTTTAACCTGGAGTTGACCTGCAAGGGGTCTTAGGCAACCAAAGTAGGAGTCGAGTGAGGGAAGAAATTCATGCAGCATCTAATGCCAATTCCCACAACTCGAATCGAGATAACTCTGGGGTGTAGTGGTCTCAGAACCAAGACCCACCTAGGTCTAGGGGATCCAACCCAACCTCGAGCTACCGTAGTATCGCTCATGATGTTCTTAACACTGTACAGAGCAGAGGCGTCAATCCAGACCAACCCTTAGTCTAAGCTGCCTTTAAAAGTCTGATTGACCTAGGTTACACTGTTCATTCCCCAGCTCATGGGTTGCTGCCAAACCAACTTGGTGGTATAGGTCAACCCCTAGCACAACCGAGTCAGCCGATTCTTCAATCGCTCCTCTTAGTTCACCCGGTCCAACAAACTGTGCCATTTCCGCAACCGGTGGCGACACCTACGGGTCAGTACGCCCCTCAGGCACAAATGTATCAAACTGTCCCGGTGACCGTGGCCCATCAACCTCTGGCCCATACAGGTCCACATCTACCCCAAATCTCAACTTACCAATCTACACTTGGGAACCCATCGACCGGTGGGCCTACTGTCACGTCAATTACTCAACAAGAAGGCACTTTAAAAGCGATGCAGGATATGCTCGTAAGAATGGGCATGCATGTATTCTACCCCCAAAGTCCTAGCCTTCCCCTGGGATTTGTTGTCCCATAATTTAGGAATGAGTTTAATGGGAAGAGCAATCCAGATGCTCATGTCAACGCGTATCTCCTCTTCGTGAGAGCTTTGTGAGATAGGCCAAATCAACTGAAGGCCATATTTTT